CCTAAGGAAGAACGTTAATTTTTTTGGATCAGTCAGCGCAGCATTGGCTAATGGTGCAAGCACACAGGAGCACTGCGGCACGAGCAATACTTTGTTGGGGCCACGCTTGGCTCACCACAGGGGTGATGGTCGTATTTCCTCCCTTAGTTCCAGTGCACTACTTGACAAAAGCTTCTGCCTGATCCTCTAATGAGCTTCAGCCCACTTCCACTTACCTTGATTTCTGGTTACTGTGATCACTTCAGTTGTAACTGCTAGCAGCCAGACCAACCCCTCTTCCTTCCTGCCTCTCCAGAATGCTCAATGCAGCCATGGCATTAACAACAGCAAAGCTTTTCTCACACTGTGTGGTGGGAGGCTAGCTTGAGGTGCGCCACAAGTGGAAACCTACTGGAGAGCCAGTGCTCCTACTGCAGGTGCCTCTGGGTGAGAGGTGGCAGAAGGGGCTCCAGGGCTCAGCAGCTATGGCTCTATCTTCTCTGCCCTGCCCTGCTCCCAGACTCTTCTCAGCAAGGACTTACTTTTCCTGGGCAGGTTCCCTGCAGCTACATTCCTAGGGGCTCGGTGGTGAAAATACCCTCTCCCTGGACCCATTCTCCAAGTCACGTTGCATTTCCCTTGTACCTCTAGACTGTTGCTGCTCCCTAAACAGTTACAAAATTATCAGATTAGGAAAAAAGACAGGGCATAAAATACAGGCTGGGGAAAGGGAAATTTGTGAACTACTGCCCTAGAGGATACATTTGTGTTCTCAGAAGCAAGGAGGAACTCCGCAGCTACAGAGCAAGTGTCTGGTACACCCTGTAGCTTCCACAATGATGTGTAAATCAGAAACTACTGCTGCAATGCCACCCTCTGGAGCAGTCTGTTAACATCTCGGGATGAGCACCCAGACTCTAAGCTGAAACACTGATGCAACAAAACAGTGATCAATAAAAAGAGAAGACTGGGGGAGGAATGAGCAGCACTGATTTTTTTTTTTTTTTCTGGGTCCACTGTTGTTGGCTTAAAAAGATTTATATCCCACAGTCATCCTAGCTGGGCTACTGAACTATAAAGCAACATTTAGCCTAGTAAAATAAACATTGGACCAGCCTGCATCTACACTAACAAATTCAGTGCACAAACACCTGCAAAGCAGAGTGATTGCACACAAACTGCCTATTGGGTCACTGGAAATCCAGCTAATTAAGGTCTGATTCAACTAGGAGAGGAATTCTTGTACTACTTAAAACCTATGATAAATACTAACCCTGGAATACAATGTACAATGCAAAAATGTGCAGAGAAAAGGTAAGAAATACTACCAGCAGAGTCTGGAACTGATCTGATCTGGACTCCTTAGTAAAGTCTGTAGCATAAAAGAAATAAAACCGAGCATCTCCAAGGAAAAAATTCAAACAATTCTGGCTGTAGGCAAAAAAACATTTAATGCTTGCTGCATTCTATGGCTGTATGTAATTACCTGCTACATGTACTGGGCAAACATGACCTTCTCATTTAGTAGTGTGACACCTTTACCTGTTTATGAGTTTGTGCAAGTCAGAACGGAGAACAATAATTAAAGCTGGCCCAGCAGGCACCAAGGAGATACTACAGGCAGCAATGGACACCTTTGACTCTATGGCATCATTTACAGTCCCTGCATTAATGTGATGCAGCATACATCTCCAAAACTGTGACTGCAAAAGAATTGTTTGTGGCATTTGAGGCCTGGCTTTGTATGGGTTCAAAGGTGTTTCTTAGTTAAACAGACAGCACATTGTGCATTAAAGATCTGAAAGCGGCGGCTCAAAGAGATCCGAATTAGGCTTGGTGAACTGAGCACACTAGGTAGAGAATTTACTCGAAACAGATTCATCCTCCTATGTGTCTCTCACAGGAGCCATCTGCATCAGGCAGCCTGGGTGATTTGCCTGGTACCACAAATGGAATGCCACTGAAGTTCCAAGGAAGTGGCTTCCACTGCTTATACTACCTCAACCTGAATAATAAAGGCCCTGTGGAAAAGGCCTTTATTATTCTTTAAAAAACCTCAGGAATAAGAACACGTCCATAACCCCCAGTTGAACATAATTATTTTTGCTTTCATCTTTGCATCCTGCGTGACTATTTCCACAATGGTACCTTCCTTTGAAGGAACCAATACATGGTTCTATCTAGTTGAGCCTGCAGAGCAACAAGACACTTCACAAGAAACTCTTTAGCAGGGGCACAGCTCAGGCAGCACCGCTCTCAGCTACAGCATCCAGTATCTTGCTATCAATCACAGGCACCGGATCCTATAAACTTCCCAGGACCCCCCTGGTTGCCACCTTCAATGTAATTCACTCCCTTGGGGAGTCCCATTCTCACACTGTCATTCAGAAGCTGATTCTAACCTGCGCAGTACTGCAAAGCACCTAGTACAATATGTTCCTGCTTAACGTTGCTGTAAATGCCATACTGACTGACGTGGCTGCATGGACCTGCCTTCAGGAAATGACCCTGTGTCCAGATGGACGACAGACATGAGGATGTGGCAGCTATGCTCAGGGCTGGTTTCTAGCTTCAGCCGTAGGACACAAAGTGGTGCTTGGTGCACACAAAAAGCAGAAATCACTAACGTTTGGTTTACTCAGACTATGAAAAGAAGACAGACGTGGAGCATTGATAGTGACTGCAATGCAGATGACTTTTTTTAGTTACTTCTTGGCCCTGACCGCTGCACTAAGCACACTACTATGATCTTCTTCCAGAGCATGTCAGGCTTTCCGAATGGACTATGACTAACACAGCTTCTTCCTTTCAATAGCCACTGTTCTGCTGTTAGTGGCCCTGTCCTCTGTCTGAATCAGCTTTAATGATCTGGTTCTAAGTAAAAGATTTTTAAATTTTAAAAACAAAATTCAGTAAGTCTTAATTTCAAAGCAGATGACCTTGTAGCTGAAAGATACTGCTGTCCATCAGCCCTGCCTTCTGTGTAATGTTTGTAAAGAATAAGCAGCAAAGCCCTTTTAGCTCTCTAGTGAGCAAACCAGAGGACCTGAAATGACTGCTACAGTGTTCCTCAGGGTGCTTGAATATCCTCTTAAAATACAGCAAAAGAATCCACTTAGAGGATGTATGTCCAGTTATAGATCATGCAAATATATATGTGGTCTATCCCACAAAAGACACAATAGACCATCTTTGTTTTGACCTGCCTTGTACCTGCTTGCCATAGTGCAGCAGTCCGAATTGAAAAGCGATCAGTATGCATCTACCAGCTACAGTATCTACCTCATCTTCTAAGTAGGCAACTGATAGCCTGAATCCATGCTTTTTGCTCACGCATCCTATTAACCTTTTTAAAAAAAAACAAAACCAAAACCAAACTCCTATATTCAGCATATCTAGACTCTGCTAGAACCCACAGTACCAGTCCCCAAGCAAGGGGAGTGCACTGTTGCTCCCTCCCACTCCAGTCACCTTCATTTCCTTCCAGGAGAAGGGCTGCACACATTGGAAGATGACAGCCTTGCGCTCATATGCAGGTAGAATGCAACCACAATTTGTCCCCCGGAGTCAGGACACCAGGAGGTGTCATGGAACACATCTGTGCTACAGTACAGAAGACAACACTCAGGCTGTGGTTTTTTTTCTGACTTCTGAACCTACTGGTGAAACAGCAACAGCTGTACAGAACTATTTATGTTTCTTAACCCCACTCCACCTCTCCCCACTCCTCACTATCCCCACTGAATTTCATGTGGGAGATACCTCTTCAATGCAGCTGCAGTTACTGGTGGTTAACTGATCCATCCATTTACCATCCTGTGTTCCTGTGCGGATTCGGAGGGATTTCATGCTGATCCGTGACTGGTGTGTTACTGTTAGTAGTTGTTGTAGGAGAAGAGTCAGAGATCACTCAGACAGATCTGATCTAGTAGTTAGTTTATTGAATTCTAATCAGTAAATTTAGGTATGTAAAATATTTAATAAGTACAGATGGATTGACGGTCAATACTATTTGCTACACTTAAAGTTAGTATGGGATACAAAGATTATTGCTCAAGCTTAGTATATGTATCTTAAAAGTTACATGCATGCAAAAATGTCACTTACCAACTGATCAATGTCTGCTGTCAGGGAAGGGATCTCTCAGCCTCGAGGGGTGACCTCGAGAGGTGTCCCTACTCAAGGGGAGATTGCCATCGTGCAGCCAGCTGCTATGCAGGGAGAGCTCAACGGACGCTGATGGCTGCAGATATTTATAGCGTAAAGTGGTTGACTCGTAGTCAGATTTTCTGCTGTGTTAATGCAGTTTTGGCCATTTACCAGCCTAGTCTCCAGCCAAACCGTTTTGGGGGGTTTGGTGCTGAGTTCTCATGGATAGCCTTGGACAATAGGATTAACTTTGGTTAGGCCTACTTGCTGAGCATCTGCCTGGACTAAAGTTCAGTTAGTTCAAACAGGAGGAGTGCATCTGTCACAGTAGTCTAAGAACAGCAGTACCTAGTCAAAGCTTTATTTTTTTGTGTGAGCTAAATAGCACCTGCTCTTTTTTATTCTAACTGAATTGTGAAACTGGCAAAGAGCTCTGAATTCTTCTCCATACTGAAATGGACTGAAAACTAAACAATCTGACAAATATTTATGTGGCAAGGCAGCTATGACATCCAGAGGAGATGCCTAATCTTGGAGTACTTTTATTGTTCTCATTGCCACTTACTACTAAAATCGAGTATTTAAACCAACCTGTTACACAACAGCAGATGCAGCTGATGAAAAAGTTAAATATTTCTAACTGTTATATAGCTCCAGAGAATGAAAATTATTCCCTAGAGGAAAACAATTACATTTATTCAATAAATGCTTCCTAAAAAGTACATAACTTAATTGACAACAAGGAGGAGATCCTGGTTTCTTTTCCACTGTTCCCATGACCCCATGCCTTCGCAGAACTAATAGCCTCTTTCACTCAGCAGAACAGTTCCAAGAGAGACTGCTGTACTCCTTTTTTGCAGTTGTGGCTGTCATTATTCTTCTTCATTTGGAAGAAACCCTTTTGCTCTGTCCAGTTTGTCCAGAACCTCGCTATAAAGTCCAATCATCTGGAGAATATAAGCACCGTAGTTGTCAACAAGGTTGGATAAAGTTGTATCATTCAACTAGATAATACAACAAAGTGACAGGAAACAGAAGCAAGGGAAGAAGTGGGAGACTACCACCAGATTCTAAAGCTAAAATTTCAGATTGATTTTGGCATGGATTTAAATAAAGTGTTTTAAGAAAAAAATAGTTAAATCAGTGCAACCTAACAAAGCTGGTTTTATTTATACTGACACAAAGCATAGTTTATCACCAAGTCTTATGTCAGTGAATAAACCTATTCACAGAATTACAGAATTGTTGAGGTTGGAAGGGAGTGGTCTCAATTCTTATTGTCTTAACTGATGTACTTGAAATAGTATAAAAGCTGCAACCAGCTCTTGATTGCCCAGCTCGTGCGTAAGAGAATGAACAATGGCTGCATACACCAACCAGGATGCAGCATTCTGTTGCCATCAAGGTAGGAGCACCAGCCAAAAACTGTAGAGAGAAGCTTACTTGTGACAGAGTATGAAAAAGTGTCGCTGCTTTCTACAGAGGTACTAGCCCTGAAATTTCTCCCTCACAGGAACTGGCTAAGCTACACCTGAAAAGATGAGCTTTAACAATTTTATTCAGATCAGCTTAAACCCTATTTATAAGACATTAGATTATACTAGAAACCAAGCTCGAAACTATTCATACAACAGCATTTCAGTAAACTGGTACAGCACCTTGACTTTCATGGAAGCAGGCAAGGTACAAGGGTTCTCCCATGGCCACAGAGTCAGAAGTTTATTTCCAGTTATCCATTTACACACCACTTCCAGTAAAAGGACACTACATTACTCTTTCTATTGTCTATCAAAACTTTTCTGGCCTCACTTTGAAAAAATGTTTTAACATCAAGCTCCCCCAAAATATTTAGGTACTATTTTTCTCCAGAAACTCTTTAAAGATCATCTGTAGTGGTTTCGTCACCCAGATCCGTATCTCAAATTCAGGCCAGACATCCAATCCCACATCCTCAAATCCACCTGCTTACACTTACATGGCCTTCATAGCTTTTCTTCAGTGATCCTAAGTGATTGAGGAAACGCATTCCTAACCCACACCACCGCTCAGCTTCCTTATATTTACAAACGGTATACTGAAATATTCCTGTATTCCAGGCTCTTGTCATCAACCAAAGGACCTCTATCTCTGGGTAAGCATCCTGGAGTAGCAAACAAAAAGCAGCAGCTCATCAGAAAATAGACTCTTCACTTTAAACCTGACAAGTCAAGAGTGCATTAGAGTTTAGCTTTAGAGTGGGAACAGTTACTTGTTTTTTCTCTCCTAAACAAAGGGCAATTCCTTCAGAGCCATCCTGTACTTCACAGTTCATCTGCACTACTGTCAGACAGCTTGATTCCAACACGGGTAAGTCATGGTGCAATTACCTATTGGTAGGTCAGAAAATACAATTCTGTGGGACTGGGAACAGTGCTAGATGGAAGTACGCTTTCCAGTAGCCTATCTGCAGACAGGCTGAACTTGCTGCCATGGTACTTTCCAGTTTAACCAAACAGTACTGAATAGCAGGACATCGCTGCTCACTACAGATCAGAAGCAGCAGTTCTTATGTCTTCAGAGCTTCTCTATGCACTGTGGCAATGGCTTTCCAGAGTGAAAGCGGCCCTTATAACTGCCAAACACAAGCCAGAGTACCCAAAAATACTTTGAACCCAGTAGGGAACTGATCCAGTTGGGGAAGGGAAGAACAAGCATTTATTTATCTGCCATGCAAATCCTTAAGGGGAGGCTGGAAGGACCTTCTTTTCCCTTGTTGGTAGATAATTCTCATCCTAAGCAAGAGTGTCCAGAGTGAATTTCTGAAGTGCAGCATCCATTTCTGAATAGAAGGTATAAATCATGAGTGGTGTACCAGCTTTCTAACTGGTAATGTACTGATGTGATGCCCCAATGTCTTTGTCCTAGCATGGTACTAATTAGTACCTGCTGCCATGAGCAAGACTGCAAAAGAAGGCCTTCCAGTACTGTGAAATTTTGCTGTTATGAGTATCAGTCCACAATAACATCTCATTCGTATCCCTCAACAAGAACATTATCAGTTATAGATGAGAACTTTAGTGAAAGGCAGGCATGAATGTGGACACATTCTTTTTTGGAGAAGTCAGGAACAGCGTATCTTTACACCACTTTTATAAAAGAAGAGACGTTCAAACCTAACAAAAGAAACAGCCATGCAATGGAATGAAACTATGAAACATAGTAACGGTTTCATTAGCCCAGAACAGGAATACTCCTTAACTGATTTTTACCTATGAAATTCTAAGTAGAAGCATCTGACTTCCTCAGTACAGCTGCCTTCACTGAAGCATTATGCTTCCAGCCTGAAATGAGCAGCAGAAATGCTTACTGATATATTTTACTCTCCATATACCTGGCCTCACAGAAACAAGGCATGTGGTGCCACAAGTACTGACAGCACAGGAATCTAGTTCTAGGTCATTTGGTAAAAACAGTAACATAGTAAGTTCCCAAATACATTTAACAAAACAGAGCTGAGAAAAAAGCAAGACTAGTATCCAAATTTTACCCAGCTTTAAACTGACCTGGAAAAGTAATCTGCATTTACTTTAGAAAAACATATTCAGTGCAAGACTGTAGAAACCAAGAGGAGGAAAGATGGATGTTGTAGCTGAAGATGTTTCTAAAATAGGCACTGAAAACTTGGCCTTAAATGTCTCTAAAAAAACCCTTACAAAATCCAGAGAAATTCGTAATTCAGTCACAAATGCCCAAGAGGCAATTATTTTGAGGTAATTTCAGTGTATCTTTTACTGAAGAAGTCTTAGCCACTCCACATATAACACTGTATAATGTTCAGTCTACTAATTACTCTCAGTCTGATGAGAATTTTTTTAAAATGTGCTCAGGATCATCTCCCAGTCTCATGTTTTCCTGTTCAACTTACTGTGCTGCTGACTACACTCAGAGCATCTTCAAAGTAGTCCCACACCTCCTGCAGTACACAGGCATCCAAGTCTGTTAATCCAGTCGGCAAAGAAAGATCAATCAAACTATGTAAGCATTTGCTGAGAATTGAAACAGAGCAAAAGAGGAAACATTAAATACCACACGCACAAGCAGCAACTTTTTAGTATCAGCAGCACACTAACTTACGTCTCTATGATTGTCAGACAGACATGTCCACCTTGGTACTTACTACACTCACATTCTTGTAGCGGAAACATGCATTTCCTAGTATCAGATCTCATTCATACAAACTATGCAAAAAGAGAGCCCAGAGCAGCAAGTACTTCATTATTTTCATCGCTGGGCTCTAAAGTAACACAGAAGACATAATATTTTCTATGGTGCTACACATGACAATGAGGAACAAGTACCTTTTTTAATTTCACCAACAAGAACTAAGTAGTCAGCATCCTCAGAAAATCAGTAACAAATACATGGTTTCTGAAAAAAAGGTCTGTCTTTCTCAGTGTGAAGTGACAAAGGCAATATTAACAGCTGCCTTTTGCCCAGTGGTTACTGCAAGGAACTTAGAAAGGAGGGTAAAAATCCTTTATGGGATACAAGTGAGAGAAGAACACACACCAGGATGCTTTTCAGATTCCATAAGGTAGAGCTGTTAGAGAGCCAGTTACCCAGCAAAATAAATCACATATGTACTATGGCATCATATCATGAACTTACAACTCACAGCTTTCTTCGGAGACCTTAATTTATCTTCACTTCATTGTCTTTGAAATACCTAGTTCACTACTGCAGGGTAGCATTTGAAATAAACACCTCTGTCACAAGAAATGGGCAGAGACCTCTTCTGGATCCAATTTTCATTTTCCTTCCTCAATACATTCATTTATTGGAAATATGACAGTTTCAGAAAATATGCCAAGTAAACAAATTGCAATTAATACATCTATTAGACGGTCATACTTGAGAGATACAGTGGTTGGCCAGCAAGAAGTGGAACCTTGCACATAAGCTAAAATCCACTCTTGTCAAATTGCAGGCTTTATTCCCTGTCAGCATTTCCAGTCACAGGCTCATGGCAAAGCTATGTAATAACACTAACCTAAATTTCACAGCATCAACGACAGTCTGCTTTCTGTAAAGGTTTAGTGCACTCTTGAGAGCTTTCTTACACAGTACAGGATACCGAGCTGGAGATTCCATCGCTAATGCTTAAAAGCAAAAGAAAATAGAAAATAGAGGAGAAGAAGAAGAAATAAATGACTGAAGCCAGACTTTAATCTCATTGGTCACTAAAATAAACTACCACATGTTGTGAGATCCCTTGTGATAAACAACTGAAAAGAGATTTGCTTAATGCCTGGGCTGGTCAGAAGCCAGTGCTTCTCTACTACTTTCTTAGTGTGCACATCATCAGTGAGGACTACAAGGCAGAAGCACAGTAGATTTCATAATTTACAAGTACTCTTACTGCTGTTTACTTCTGGTGCAGTAACCCAAAAATATGGGGGGGAGGGGGTGTGTCTAAAGTAGGAAGTATTATTTTGTTTGTCTCCTTGAACATGACAATTTGGATGGAAAAAATTAGCAGGATGTCAGTAAGGTGTTTCCAAGCCCAAATGTGTATTCCCTCAAGACAAGGGAGATAAAGTAGGTGTTCATTCAACCCTTCAGAATACCCTCCAAAGATTTGCCACAGTAATTCTAAATTTTACTCATCTTCTTTGCATCCTACTCTAGATTCTCAAGGAGGCATGACTAGAACTTTGTGATGAAAGTATGGTACAGTATAGAGAAGTGCCATTTACAAATTAACTAGACTAACTTTAAGTTGAAACTGCATATCTATCCAAAGTCCACGTCCCCAAACTTCTGTACTGGGGCATGAATCAGTCAGGGTCATTCTCCGGCCTTGGCCAGCCTGGAGCTTGTTAAAGTTTATCTGAATAATCTTTTCCAGACTCACAACCTATACAAATGTCTCAGGGTCTAGAAATAGAAGATTGTCACAAATTTCTGGTTCATCCACAGTATACAGTACTTCAGTATTTCAAAATACAGATCTCCTAATATAGCTGAGATCCTAAGCATCTTTGCTTCAGGACAAAATGTATATGGTTAGACCTACTTTCTGCATGCTGCACAATACAAGATAATCCTGGTCACCCCAAATGAACACGACAGAGCAACAAAAGCTGTTTTTCATGACTTGAAGAACTATGAAAGCACAAATGCAGTCCTTACATGCAATGATTTCTAGCGTCTTGACCTCTATTTGTGGTTGCTCCCATACTGACTCCATCAGGTTGGGGAGTGTTGGATCATTCAGTTTGGATCTTGCCTCAAATTCATAAAGCAGCAACAACATGTCTGTTGGGTCTTTAGCAAAATCTCCTACAGAAGAGACAAGATTGTCTGTATGTAATGATTAATTCTCTTAAAGCCATATGGTATACCATATAGGTATAAATTTTGCCACATGGTATACCATAAGGCATAAATTTTGCTTCCAACAGGCAGGAAAACAATTAAGGTACTCAGATTTAACACTAGAGAAAGTGGAACTCTGAAGCAGTCTTGGACAGAAGCCTCAGATGTCCAAACCACAACCCCATCAACCACCATGCCTCCCCCACAAAAAAAAACCTGGATTGGCTAAATTCATGCAGCCCTCCTAGGCAAGGTAATAGCTACTAGGGAAGCCATTTTCACACACGGGTAAAAGAGGTAACAGAAGGCCACCAGCTCAGAAGGTCAGCTTATGAAAGAAGTTAGCATCAGCTTCAAATTTTTCGATAGGACTTGTCCCCTTTCTGGTAGGAAAAGCCCTCAGGAAATCCTTAAACACAGAAGAAGGGTGGAAGAACAGTACAACTGCTAGCAAGATGTAAACCTGATACAAACACCAAACAATCCTTTACTGAACTATCACAGAGACCTTTGGTTTTACATCTAAAAGACATTCTCAGCTTCCTCCAGGGCAACAGACTTGCCCACACATTAGCCAAGGTCTAGTGAAGAAGTGAAGGAAGCACCAGGATACCATTCCACAAACCTCTGCAGGAGAAACTCCAATATGTCCCCATCCTGAGATAATCAACCCCTTCGGATTTTAAGGATGGAAAATTAAAAGGGAAGAAGTCTTCCTGAGTTATGTTGCCTTCAGTGCAAAAGGGCAAAGAGAATCCCAAATCCAGGCCATATAATGAACCTTTCATTCTGAAATTTTAAGGGGGAAACAACCCAGCAAGTAAATTTCTTGACAAAAGTTAAATACTAATGCATCTTACAATGGAAACTCCACAGTGTCCCAAACCTGTAACTGAAAAGAAACTAGACCACAGGCCAAACAAGGAATGCCTAACGGAATTTTGCTACAAATATACTACCAAAAAAGTGAAGCATGCATCCTCTACGCTAACAGTCACTCAGCTCTCACCTGTCAGCTGAAAGCACCCAGTAATATCTGATGTAAATTGACATGGAATAGTCAGGGAACAGAGGATGGGTTTTGGCACTTCAACGTATGGTAGCAGGACTTCTTGTATTCTGAAATGCCTTATATGGGAAGAGGCTAGTAAAACTATTAAAACAGTGCAAAAGTGACTCCACTCTAGAGGAAAAAGCTTGGCGTTTCTTAACATTTAAGACAGAACAGTCAACCCAGCTTCACTCTGAAAGATTGTTCCACACTTCACAGCACCTATACAATAAAAAGCCTACAATGACGTACAAAAAACAGTAGTTGGCTTTGTCAATTGTTTTATCATATTGCCATATATCTGCTTCAACACTCTTCAGCTGAGACAGCAATTCCATATGCCCTATATTTTTCATGAACACAGTGACTAAGTCCAAGAGTTATATATGCTCCAAACTTTGTAGCTTACCTGTGAATTTCAGAACTTTCCATATCTCCTTGCATGCCTCGAGATGTTGAAGGGCCTGAGTTAAAAGCTCCATCTATTTTACAAAATTTAAGAAGTTATTTTTGTCATAGTTTTAAAAGCAAAAGGAATATACATGTCACAACTAAGAGGATCTTTATACCTAACTATAAAATAAATTAAGAATCAGCCTAATTAGTACATAATCTACACCAGTTACTGGGTTTGGGGTTTTTTTTCTCTCTCTTTTTCAAAGACCTCCACATCTCAGACAAAGCCTTTTCACATCAAACATTCCATTGGTCCAGAAAGAACCATATGGGTTCCTATGGGACATGATTTATTTTAGCTCCCAAGCATAAAACAGTGCTATTGAGACTGACAAGCCACTAAATCCCACAACACAAATTGCTGTGCATTGCCCTTCACAAAAGTAAGTTTCTACAACAATCACTGTACAGCAGACTTCCACATTTCCTTTATAACCACTATACATTTTCCTTAATCTTCTTACCACAGTAAGTACAACACCCCAAAAAAGGATGTATGCATTAAAAAAAAAATGGTGAGCTTTATCACAACCATACTGGTAACTACTTTCAGCAATGGCATAATCCTAAAGATGCAGTAATTATTTGCCTGACCAACCAATGTTTAGCAGCAGATGCCTTACATAATATATAAGGTAGATTGAAATTCCTCTAACAGAAGGTACTGCCTTTGCTGATACAAATCTGTTCAAATCCACTGAGGTCGAAAGAAGTAATTTACAGAAATCCAACATTTAAAATTGTCTGGAAAGCACTAGGTGCATCAGTTCTAATTAACTATGAAAGGTTCCCCTGCTTATATTCTCAATATCCTGTTCTGAGTGAAAAAACTAAGACTTCAAAATCAAAATTAAAAAAAAATGCTACACTAATACATACAGAATCGGTTAACAGAGCAATGCCCTACCTGTTGAGAAGGTGTTACTTCTTGTCTCCCCATTTCCAGATCAACTGCAGCTGCCATTAACAGGCATGTCTTCTGAGCAATTAGAACAGCTTTGTCAGAGGGACAAAACTGGGACAACTGACACCAAAAATAGGAAAAGGTAATGAGAATTCTGCCCATATAAAGCAATTCGCCCATGAACAGATGATTGCTAAGTCTCCTCTATGACACTTCCAGTAACCAGTCATGAATAGTATATATTCATATTGCAATTTTACTTGTACAATTACACAGTAAGATTATTTAAATATAAAGTGTAAAGCAGTGTTGGAGTCCCCTCTCTACAAACCACACAAAAGTGATAGTCTTGGTAGAAGTTCTGTATGGAAATTAGGACTCGAGTACTTCACGTTTGTATTAATGATACAGTTTCCAAACATCAGAATCCATTTATTTTGGAAAGTTCTCATTGAAGTCTAAGTTTCTTATGACATTTTTAAGCAACAAAATGTAAAGTATGACAATAATGCTTACATTGGGTTTTACAAGTCAATCTCCTTCTGACAAAAGTGCTCCATCTTCAGAGCATACAAACATGTCTCCAAGGAGACACCTGATACATAGATGTAAATTCTAACACAACAAGACAGATAACAGTATTCCTCAATCAGAGATACTACTAGCAAGAGTACATACCTTGAAAGACAGTAGAAAAAAATCCCTCATCTTTTCAGGGCAGCCCCTGAACTGTACAGCTAAGTTCCAAGCTAACAAAGACATAAAAAATGGAGACTAGAAAAAAATCTTCAACATTATGGGTATGCCCATCTAATCTCTAGTAATAGGCAGTTCACATTCTACAATTCAATGTCTTAATCAAAATATCATCAACAGCTTATGTAACAACAGCAAGAAAAAACATTATTAGTGATTTGTTAAAATAGCTTATTCATGCTTTCAAGTTTTGTCTTAATAATTTCATATTTCATAATATTTCAATATTTCGTAACCAAGTATCCATTCTACCACATACCCTGCCCACAAGAGCATGAACTGAAAGAAGCATTTTCTCATGTTAGTAAACAAAACTAGTATCTGAATAAGAGTGTTGAACAATATTCCCAAGACAAATAAAACAAAAGAAAAAAACGTACATTTTGAAACATTCTCCATTTTACCCCAGCAGGGTCAAGTACATCGCAATTAAACACATAATTCTGATTAGTAAATGGATGAGCCATCTAAAGACAATCAAATGATTTGTGTATGAGAATCTGACCCAATTAAATGTTTACAGATTCTACGGTGACTTTGCAGATTCTAAATTTCCTGTTAATTCATTCCCCAGGATATGTTTTTGTAGTCTTGGAATTGTTTATTCTGTGAGTGAGAATGCTGCCTTGGAAAGGTCACGGTCACCACAGATTCCATTCACACTCATGTTACTGTACCTGACCTCTGCTGCTTCTCTCCCTCGTTTGCTACTCTTTATTGGACCATGGCTACATTGTGAGGGTATGTGCAAAAGCTCATCACAACAGATGTCTTCTGTTATTGATTTCAACTATTTTCTCCCCTGTATGCTCCAGCAGAAGGAAGAATCTGAAAAATTCCTTCAACCAGTTACCCTATGCTTATATTTTTATTTACAGACAGCAAATGCACTGACTCCTTTACGAAAACAGTGTAACAAAGACTACTAAATGAGGATCCAGATACACGCTACGGATAGTGCTTAGGACAGCTCCATGAGAGCTGCATTTCCCACTAAAAAACACTTTATCTATGATAATGTTTGCTGTTTAGATTTCATATACAGTAGTTCAAGGCAAACTCCAGGACTGTTGATTTAAAGGTTTAATGAAGACAGTCTACCTGGGAGGCAGGGGTAAGGTGCTCATCCTGCACCAATCACACCAGTACACTCATCTGAACTTTGTAATTCTTGTTTTGCCTACATGAGAATATGCATGCTCAGGATCGGCAGTAAGGTTTTTTTATTGCTCTTAGGACCATTTTTTTTTCAGACATTGAGGAAAACTATTATTCTGTTTGCCTGATCTTAAAGTATGCTTCTGTAACAGAGTCTTGGTATTGAAGTGCTAACCAAGACAAAAATGGTGAACTCTAAGCATGGACACATAACAACAATTCCTGTGGTGAAGGAATAATGTATCAGCTATCTCATCAGTCAAATAGACCTTGTGTGAGTATTTGTCTTGATAACTGACTTAAAACATGATTATATGACAGAAAAGGCAGCAGGAACTTTAAGACTAGTTAAGGCAGTGACTGCCAAATGTGACAAGTTTTATAAACCTACTACATCTTTAAACGCTTCTTTCTTCCTTAACGTCTGGCTAAGTGGAGGTGGAGGGGATTCAGTTTAGATTTTGGGAGTGCAACCTACCAACTTTTCTAAACCAGTGAGCTTCAACGATCCTCATGTCCCCTGTAAATTTCTCTTCTGTGAAAGACTCAGCAAGTCTCTTGTGAGCTGCAGAAAATGTGTTGTTCAATACATAAGTAACTCTCTCATAAGTAATTCTCTCTCTCGGAGCAGAATAAAAACATTTGCAAGTCTAATACCTACACTACAAAACAGAGGTTTCCAAAACTCCCATATAATTCCTAATGAAGAGTTATTCTCACAATTTAAATCCAATATGCTTGACCAGAGAGGCTTATAAAAACCATTAACTGGTGCCTCAAACAGCGTTTTAGATAAGATATATAAGGCTGCCAACAAGTACTGTCTCTTCATAGGTTACTGACACGGAAGTCTAATGTAGGGGAGTTTTACTTAAATTTCACAAAAAGTTGAGGGTTTTTTAATTTGGTAACAAGTTTGAGGACTTTCTTCAAGGAACTTTTAATTAATATAATTCTAGTCTTCATTCTCTTCTCCTAGTTGCAGTAAGAATGGCTAGCATAGAAAAAGTTCTACAATCTCATTAACTTTCCTGTCCAAGATAGGGAGAGGGGTAAAATAGATTTAGTGAAAAGAAGTATTTCTTCTGATGAAGAAAAGTCTTCCGTAAAACTCTCGTACCTTTTCCAATGCAAACAAGACAATTCTTTTTCAAAGGACAGCACAACTTAAAAGTGGGAAGCAATTTTGACAAGTCCCTCCCATCTTTCAGCAATTTGCTATTACTCCTTGCAGTTTTCTAAGCCTTCCAAGGTCAAAAAAAATACCATTAGGTTAATTTAAAAAATGCTCCCTTTTAAACAGCTAGAACAGCAAAGATCACCATTGTCATTTAATTAATGCCAGTAGGAAGTTACACTGTTAATTCCGTTTACAAAACCAAACTTCTTCCTTTTGTGGTAGCCCTGCTACTAAAGATACTAACTTTGTTCCTGCCAATGCAGTCAGAGTAGGAGACTGTCACTTGAGGCCACCCAGGCTGTGGCTTGTACCAATTATCTGTTATTTGCATGCATGGCCTGATGGAGGACTAAAGGGAAACTCCCTAGAAGAAACTGCTCCTTTGAGAGAAGGTCCCAAGTACAGGCTTTACTAGAAAGAGTTCTTCCAACACTAGCTTGCAAGCTTTCCAAAGCAAAAACCTGTAGCCCTGAGATCCAACTCCACAGCACTGTCGAATCTCCCGTTTTAATTTTCACTGATTTCAGTGGGAAGTTGGGAACCTAGACTGAAATAAGGAGTCTAAACATTTGGTTGGTATGGACCTAATCATATCACAAAATGTTCACAGATGGAAGAACTACAGAAAATGTAAATAAAACAAAAGCATACCCATGGTCAAGTAAGTCAGCATTGAGTTGATATCTTCATCTCTAGAATGGAGGAAAAATTAAGTTTTAGAAAATGTTTGATTAACTTCTTACAACAGAACACATTATTTATGTTGGAATACAACATCCATACATTATGGATATAATCATTCTTCCCCTGACAAACATCTCAGGCAGTAGAAACTTCTAGCATTTGAAGATGCAGAAGGAGTGTTGAAGACCTGCAAAAAGTTTTATTGATCTGCAGCAGTGAAGGTCGTTGTAGAAGTACAGCAGGAGATTTTCTCAGTTTTGGGGGCTGCAGGTTAAACTTCAAACCCCACTGACACTATGCTATTTTCTTGACAGTCAAAATCCAGCAGTACAGTTCTACTTCTAAGACAACACACCATTTGCGATCTGGCTAGTCTCCAGCAAGGGACGTCCCACTAAAGTTCTCACTCAAAACTTCTGTAAGATATCACATCCTAGCGTCAAAATTAAAGAGGCTGCTTAGCTCACATTCCCCATCAAAAATACCTGGGAGTCTTATGCATTAATAAAAGAGGAAGGTAAAGAGCAAATCTTTAAAGAAAAGGTTATACAAGTAGAAAAGATGTTCCTATAGGATGTCATTAGGTTAAACTGGGAAGTCATCTGTGTGGACTTTTTACTAGCATAAAAACTAATCTCTTGATTACTCTGCAAGAAAATAAGCTCAGCAAGAAAATATTACACCATTTGTACAACATATCCACCATAAGAAAATGGTTTTGCAAACGGACCCACCTTTTCTCTTCATTTTCTGCCATGACCTTTGACAATGTAAGACGAACCAAACATCTAAATATGAGAAAAACAAGCAATGAAGAAACAAGAATTTTTTTCCAACAGTGTACTCTGTCCTAATTTTCCAGAAAGGATCCCACTTTTTTTCCTTATGGTATCAGATAGCCTATGGAACTCACAGAAGAATTCCAAATGTCAAACTGAGAATATGATTATACTATTTCCCACCCTATCACCTTATTTTTATACAACTTTGTTAAATCATGTAGTAGTAAGTAAATAACTGTACTTCAGTAAAGGCTTTTAAGCAAATATTGGAATAAATACATCTGTCTCACAATATTTGTTTTTATAAACAGAATGGAATATTTCAATAAGATACTGCTTCATGAGAGGATGCAAATGAACTGTATTCTCAACAAATATATTGTTGCAATTTCATTAGAGTCACTGTTGGTCGTCTGTTCAAATCACAATGTAATCATAAAATTCAGAGCAACTAATACTATTTGCTTGGGAGAGACTTGGAACATCTGTAGATATTAAGAGTTCAAGCTTGAGGTACATCTGCAGCACCAAAAAGACTGCTAACTAATCCTTCCTCTATTCTGTTTTCCACCTTCCTCAATATAATAAATTCTTTTTGAAAAAGAAACCAGAAGAAATTCTCTTTTCTTGTAAATATATTGAATTCTCACTTTAAAGCTGCAAATAATTGTCGGCAGTCTTGTAAATGTTCAGACAAATACTCCAAAGCTTTGATAGCCACAACTTGTTGTTCATTCTGAAAAGAAATTAAAACACATTTTGTGTAAGCTGCACTACCTCAGTTACCACAAAAAACCAAACCAAAACAAAACAAAAAAACAAAACAAACAAAAAACCCTCAAAGCAACAGCATATTCCAAAAGTCTGTGCAGTCTACTAGCAGGAAGAAGAACAAAGGACTCTGCACAGAAGAGCCCCAGTATCAAAAGAAAACTGTAAGCAGAGATCGTATGATTCCACGCACAAAGAGCCTATGGCAAGAACAGGATCAGTACAGATTGGCAAGGCTTTAATGCCTTACAGTGCTATGAACAAAGCCCTAAAAGGCAACCATAAGCCTCTTCTAATTATGCCAATGTAATCAGCCAGTTCAGACATAACTCACGTCACCAACCAACAGGCAAATAGGAGGGGCAAGTGACTTTTCAGTCTGCCATCACTGACTTACGTGTATTTTATACACAGGTTCCCCCTAGCACCTCAAAGATCAAATCCCAGAGGCAGAAAAAGACGTAACATTTTGCTAAGAAATACACCATGTCATTTCCAGATACCAACATTTATAACTCAGAATCCTTTATTTTCCTGAAGAAATATTAAAAAATACAATGTCTTTATATGTGAAATCAATTTCTACTTTGCATTACGCAACACATTTGAGTGAGATCTTGGTCACAGAAACATGAAATACTTAGAAATGCATGAAATACATAGAAATATTAAAAGTAGGACAGGTTACAGAGGTTACAGCTGAGCTACTTACATCAATAAAGCAAAGTAAAGACAACTTTATCTGCTCTACCTCTAAAGCAATTTGGGCAGCTAAACTCAGGAGGTTAGTGCCTGTATTTTCATCCACTCTTAGCTTGTCTTCATGTTGAGATAGCTTTTCTGTTAGCTTCCCCATTTCAATAACTGCTTCTACAGCTGAAAAATACATAGGGAAAAGTTATTTTTTTATAGAAGCAATTGGAAGGTGGAAAATTCTATTGTTTTAAAGAGGCTTTAGAAGCAATTTATGAAAGGCTATACTTTTTTTTCTAATATGAAAAACCAAGACAAGAAAACTTGACCATACCACCACTTCTCCACAATTATGCATTTCCTCCTAGAGAGGTGCCAAAACACTTTCCAAGCTACTAATCTAAGGAAACAAGGATGCCATACAAATGAAACTCTCTCACATCTTTAATTTTGTTCTGCTAAATAACTGTCACCGAAGACAGAAGACTTTTTCTAATACATTGTCTGGGCGTGATTCCAAGCTCCTACACCTTGGCTTATGCTAAGGGTGCTGCTGCTTTTATGTTCACACTGTGCTGTAGTTCCCACTCTACATTATGTGAACAAATTATGTTGTCATTAAAAAGATGTATAGAGAACAATTAATTGGCACAGAACTCATCAGAAAATAAGCTCTGCATGTTACTCTGTATTCTAAGTAAGTATAGACCGTATTTCTCAATTTTCATTACTTGAGCTAAGATCTTTATTAAAATATTAAATTGCAGAACTCATTACAAAGAAAAAAGAGTCTACAGAGATGTATCATTCTGTAAGTCATCTCAGTAAGTCATGTATTTTGTGGTAACTTCAGACTTTACTTGTCCAGAGAAATTAAGAGCAGCAATAATATTTCCGTTAAGGTTCATTTAGCTCAGTATCCTTTTTATATTGTATATGCATACAAAAGAATATTAAAAACACTAAGTATATAATCATTCTCACCATAGCTTCTGCCCATGAGATTAGAGACTTCCTAGCCAGAGGCTCCCTCCAGACAATAGCAGATATGGCAACAGACTCCACATCTTACATATTGTGTGCAAAAAGCATCCCACTCTGACAGTTTAAATCTACAGCTTGACAGTTTCAATGACTTTATAGACCCTTCTTCTAGCTGCCCTCTGTTGTGTCTCTCAAGATGAACAGTCCAAATCTGCTCAGTATTTTCTAATATATTCAGCACTTCTGCTCCTTGTAGTGGACCCTTTCTCTTTCAAGTTCTACCTTTATCAGTATCTTTCTCCATCACTGCAATCTTATAGACACTGAATTTAGTAAAGATGCTGTTTGGATCACACCTCTCTGCTTCTTTAACTGCCTCTTTAGCCTATTCATAGAAGAGAGTAAAGGAAATCAGTACAATGACAACTTGAAATCAGTAATACAATTTGCAATAGAAGAGACATAAAACGTATACAAAATGTTAGTGTTTACATTGTTGATATTTATATAATTACTCAAGAAGTTTGGTTTAGCAATTTCTTCCCTGGAAAGAAAAGTAAAGTGATGAGAGCAGAGGACGGCACCATAGGGTGACAATGACTCAGGAGAGCAGACTTTGGCCTCTTCAGGGATCTGGTTGGGAGAGCACCATGGGATAAAGCCCTGGAGGGAAGAGGGGCCCAAGAAAGCTGGTTAATATTCAAGGATCACCCCCTCCAAGCTCAGGAGCGATGCATCCCAACAAACAGGAAGTCAGGCAAAAACACCAGGAAGCCTGCATGGATCAACACAGAACTCCTGGACATACTCAAACACAAGAAGGAAGCCTACAGAGAGTGGAAGCAAGGATAGGTAGCCTGGGAGGAATACAAAAAAATTGTCCAAGCAGCCAGGGATCAGGTTTGGAAAGCTAAAGCCCTGATAGAATTAATCAGGCCAGAGATATCAAGGGCAAGAAGAAAAGCTTTTACAGGTACATTGGTGACAAAAGGAAAACTAGGGAAAATGTGGACCCTCTCTGGAAGGAAACAGGAGATCTGATTACCCAGGATATGGAGAAGGCTGAGTTACGCGAAGACTTTTTTGTGTCGGTCTCCACCGTGCTCAAGCACTTCAGCAGTGCTTAAGCCACACCGCCCAAGTCGCAGAACACAAAGGCAAAGTCTGGGAGAATGGTTTAAGACCATCTAAGGAACCGGAAGGTACACAAGTCCATGGGACCTGATGAG